GTATATACAATCATAGTAATGATTTCTTAATTTTTTTTACGCCTCGGAAGGAAGTCCTCGAAAAAATCGGTTCGTAAATTCGCCAAAACCGCGAAACCAATGATCGATTGTTGAATGTAAAAATCGACAGGTCATTGCGGAAGAGAGGAGGGCAGGTGCAGGGTGCGGGGATCACACTTACAAGACTTACGATCGGCGTGTCTGGTCCTCTTCCGCTCCCTCGGCGTCGTCCTCGTTGCCGGCGTCTTCGTCGCGGTCTTCACCAATGATTCCAGCAACTCATCGTCGCCATCGGTGAGGTTCCCGTTCGTATTTTCATCGCGAAGCAATGGACCCAACGAGGTGCGGCCTGAAACATGCGATTCTTTCATTCTTTACTAATCAATATTTTATAATGTATATTAGATTAGTGTGTATGAAACGTCGAGTCGTTTTGTGTCTCAAGTTACAATTATTAAGGGGACAAATATGTATTTATCCAATTTCATCTCATGGTCCACTGCTATGAATCGAATTTAGGATTAAATAATGTCAACGAGATTTATAGTAATTACAATGGTAAACATTGTTGCGTATTTAATTTTTATTCGATAGATATAAAAATAAAGAATAATTTATTACATTACATAATTGTTGTCAATATTATTACATTATATTATAATAAGTAGATGTTCTCCGATAATTTAATTACGAAGGCAGATGCTAGCTGAGGATAAAAATTAATTATAAAAACGACTTTTCTCTCTCATATATCATTTATAACAACAGCGACATGACAGTCAAGCGAATTGGGGATAGCGAAGAGGTTAAGCATTTTCCATCGTTTAACAATTCTCGGCAGGAATTTTCATTGAGGGGAGCGTATCGCGCAACGACGTTTACACAGGTTTCAGTCTGTCCGGGGTGAGGACTATTCTTCTTCCGTAGCAGCTCCTCTGTACTACGCCGCCTATGGTCCGCAAGGCAGAAACTTCGGAAACATCGAAAGCACGAAGAGTTCCTTTGAGAGGTTCTTTGAAACTCGGCTGAAAGAAGCCTTCACTGGTAGTCTTTCTGCCCTCTGTAAATCCGATACGACTAGATGGTACACGAGGAGAAGAAGAACCATGAAGAAGAAGAGGCACTAAGAATTTCGGTCGACTCGCGAAATGGAAAAGGCCAACTTTCGTGCGGTCAATCCACCTTAGGACACTAAATGTCTTCGACTTCTTTGCGAGAGGATTGAACAATTTTTATTTCCCGTTTTTTCCTGGGAAACTGTCCACCTCTTATATCTATCAGAACAGAATTCTAGCTAAAATGTCATTTGTTAATTCCAATCGTTTTAAATGAAATACTAGCATTCTGCTCTTTGATATTTGTATAACCATAATTAACCACAGGGAAGTGGAGAAAAAAAGATGGTAATAATTTACATGTCACAATAATTTCAATCAGCTTGAAGCATGTAAAGGTCATCATCTTGATCAATTTTCTGCCTATACATGATACCATCGCTCGGCTCTAGTTAGTTATAAAAACACCACTAAAAAATATATATGTAATTCAAGAAAAAAAGAAGATGAAAACTGTATTTCGTTGTATTCTAGGTTTTCATTTTCGCCAATCTCCACATAAATACTACTCCCTCTCAAGAAGACGTGGATATGAATGCAATAAGGCTGCAGGAGGATATCTAACCTGGATGGAATCCGCCGCGACAAATCGTGATCCCCGCCAAGGGAGGGGACACCGTGTGGTAGGTTTCACAGGGTGTCTCCAGGTGTTCGGAGGAGTTCGCCAGTTGTCTGCGTAGCGCGAAGCGACTTAGGGCGAAGCCTTTAGGTATTTTACGGGGAAGCATATACGGGAATAAAAGGAGGAAAAGTTATGATGACCGTGGTAATGCACGAGCGACGGGCAAGTTTACGAGCCGTAAAGGGGTGGTTTTGCCCTCCGCGGCTTTTATACCACGCGGTCCATAGTGAGAATAAAAATTCCAACGCCACTTTTACCAGAAGAAAGGGCATGAGTCCCTACAATCTCGCCTGAACTCTATTCGATAGCACTGATTTCCTTTTCATTATCTATCATTTTTGCGCCACGTTTTGCGCGTCACGATGATCCTTCATACTTAATTTCAGTGGGACAACTGTTACGATAAAATCACTGAGAGAAAGAGATTATACGTGCAATCGAGGTTTTTGTATTATATTTTTTGCCAGTGTTTTGTAAATTGGAATTTTGTTTGAGTAATTTTCATGTCTCGAATATTTTTAAATTCGGGATATTTAGACTTTCCTATGAGAAACGTACTATAATCCATACCGTACATATTGTTCCACCACGTATTTACGCAAAACAATGCATGAAACTTGTTTAAAATCCCGCAGAAAAATGTGATTTTAAAACTAGGAGACCAGTGGCAATAATAAAGCTTTTAATTTTGAAATCTCTCAAATCTGATTAAAATTGATGTTGGTTTCCACTTATACGTATATGCGTACAGAGTGAAACGCGTTTCACGATCTTAATTAACGTAATTAAGAGAATGTTAATTACCACTACATGTATGTACCACTTAAATTTCATGCATCCGTTGATACAATGAAATCGTAAAATCACTTTGGCCCACACTTTACTACTTGGTTACACATTTCGCGTATCTCTATGAATACTTCAGTTTGACGCGTTTTATCTGAATTATTTCACTTTGGGCTCGGTAAGTCAACCCATGATTCCTGTATAAAGTATCGCATTATTTAACAAAAGAATTTCATTATGCGGCGAATGCATTCCGAGCGCGTGCTTTGCGCGTGACTAATTAATCTTGATATTATTTCTACCACATAAATTCTACCAATTTTCACTTTTATCGCCACCGCTTGGCAAGGAGATGAAAATGTACTGGACTCAATGTATGCGACAAAAAATGTTGTACAGACGGCGCGGCGGCGGCGGTCCGACTTTAAACGAATAAAGTGACAGTAGTAAGTACCCGTATGTGGTCAGACGGGTAGCCGCACGGTGATATAATTAACAAAGTAAATTCTTGGGACCTGACTTTTGTTATTACACTAACGTGTGTACATCCATCTATGCTGATGTTTTTTATTTCATATTTTATTTATTCTAATAATTTTTAATTCAGTCTATTCCTTTTAAAATAGATAAACGCATGGTTGACATGTGTTATAGAATATAAATCAAAAAATTTGTATAATATTTCAGATATTTGAACAAAGTTTGAGTTTACATTATCACAATACCTATTGTATAATGTAGTATATATGTAGATATACATGGGAATATCCTTTCATAATCTTTTCAGAAGCAAGATTACGAAACTCGGAGGAGTATCGTAAGAAAAATTCAGCAGAAAGCTTTCTCAAGTCGGAAGGTCTCTGGGTGAAGGAGGAAAAAAAGCAGCGGCGAGACAAAAGCGCGAACCGCGAGAAAATATTGAACGAGGCCGAGGGAAAGATCCCTTCGCGGCGGGATTATCTTCTAAACACGATTCCCGCGTTTCACCCGGTTTAGCGTTCTGAAATCTCGATGTTGTTACTTTTCATTTATTTTCCCAGTAACACCGTCAAACGAGCCAGCCCTGTTGTACCCTCGAATCTGACCTCGGGATCGTTTGCTTAAGGTGAGCATTTATCTTAGGCTACGTTGCCGACTTAGAGCATTACGGAAATGAGGAGAAATTCGCGTACTTTGTCCTTATTCCTCGCAACCACCCTTTCAACGCGTTCACTTAGCCCTGCTCCTTTCGTCTCTGACCAACTAAGGCTTGGCAACACTTTAAAAACGTATTTATTTCCTATGCTATTTTTTTTAGGTTTAAAGGACAAGGGTATGTACATATATGTATGTATAAAGAAGTAGTGTAGTACGCCAAAGCCATATGTAATCAACATTGTAACAGACTTGTAAGAAATGAAGGCTTATTACATGACAGATGTATAAATGCTTTGCAAGCTTCCATATCGTATGGATAAAATGAGTGGCTTGTTTCAGATAACCAGACGGAAAAAGGTAAAAGAAGAAGAAGAATAGGGAAATGTAACAGCAGACGGGGATCCCTGTTTCTCGATCGCGGAACGAGCGACGATATTATTGCGTTTTATTGCTTCGTTCCATATTCCACGAGGTTTCGCGGGGCCAGACACCGGCGCGGCGTAATGTAGAAATATGAAACTTGTCGGCGGCAGGATATTAGAATGGCTCGATCAATGAACGATGCGGCAGTGCACGTAGAAAACGGATTTTGCGTTGCAAATTGCGTAGTCCATGATGAAACCCATTCGCGCCATTATGTTCCATGAGCAGGAAGTTACGAGCGGTGTTTTTTCATTTTTTCTGTTTTTTTTTTGGAGAACATCATTTTTCAGATTCTATTGTAGATTTGAAACAATACGTACGACTTTCATGAATATTCGTGGGAAATAAAAAGAATTTTGGAAATCGAATAAAAATACCGCAAATATACTAATCGTATTGGGTTGAGCCATGCAAGTGGTGTTTATTCAATTTGCTTGTGGCAATTGTTCAATTATAAATGTAATTGTTGCGAGAGATATTTAGTTTTTTGTCACTCGCTCATTTTCTACAATTTATACAATTTATACAATTTGTATCTATCGCGAGATAATGGCACTCAGTGGAAACAAGTCATCCGAAAGAGTAACTTTAATCCAAGTTGTGACTGTAAGTGTGATTAAAGATGCAGTGGGTAAAAAGGAAGACATCCGAGAGCCCAAGTTACTCGGCCGGGGAAAATGAACGGAACGTGGGGTAAAGAAACAAGTAAGAGTGTACAGAACGGAATGAAACTCACCATCCTTCCTCTGTCTCCTCCACGGTAAAGTGCCATGAATACTCTCAACGTCGGAGATATCGCTTCCAAGCAGTTGTCTGAGCTCCGCGTCTGCTCGATCCTCTTTCGTTCTGAATTTACCAACCTGTAACGATCAAAGGAGACATCGAATCCACGTGAACAGCTAGTCAAGGCAAAGAGACAGAGAGAGAACGAGAGAAGAGGGTGAAATCGCGCACGTTCGCGATGATATCGCGAGGACAGAAACGAAAATGGAGACAAGCGGGATATTAATGCAACGGTAGGCAAGAAAAGAAATTGATTCGACCCGCGGCAAAAAAGCAATTTATTCCCCCCTCACCGTAGCGCACCATAATGCTGTTCACGCTCCGATAACTGTATTTGATGAGAGAAGTGGGTCGGGCCCTTCTGAAAGATTTTCAACGGCCGTCGAAGAAAAATACGAGGTGGTCCACGGAGAAGGAGAAGAATAAGAAGAAGGGGAGAAGAGAAGGAAAGAGGAGAGGTGACTGGGTTGGCATAACTCACCTCCGTGATCATCTTTCCTCTGGTTTTATTTCGTTCGCGATGATTGGCTTTTTTCTCCAGCTGCTGTATCACCCGCTCCCGGGTGGTTCTGTACTCGAGCGCGAACTCGGACACGATCCGACAAAACTCGTTCGGCTTCGTGTCCTGCACCCTGTGCAACGGGATGCCCAGCCATAGGATGAACTTGTGGAATCGATTTATGATCCGCCTGTGCACGATGCCCAGCACGATTATCCTCTCCGCACACTCCGCCAGGAAGTCTGACATTCTGCTTCGACAAAAGAGAGCAGGAGAGAGACCGGGGATTAATGCCACTGGCCGGTGAAATAATTCTTTGAGAGGGTTCGCCTGATATTACCTTTTCCGCATTCGCGATATCGAGCCTCGGCTTTGTTTCGAGGGTGAAATACAGAGTTAGGGAAATTGTAATTAATCGTCGTTACCACAAATGCGGTCATGGAAATCTGGGTCGTCTCCCATTGGTAATATCATTCAACCTTCGTTATACGTATAATAATTTCGATTTGATTCTACTGCTACGAATTCATTTTTCTTATTTGATCTACTTTTTAGTAGTAACTAATTTTGCTGATTTGATAATTATATTTTTTTGTATTATATGTATAATTATATTTTTTATTAGTAAATCAATAAAAAAAGAGGCAATATAAAGTCCTAGTTGTAAGAATTCATCAGTACAAAAGATTACAGTCAGATTATGCGGAAAAAGAAGATTTACCCTTATTTAGATTTGCTCTAAATAATAAAAGCTAATTCATAAATCATACTGTTTGAACTAAGCGACGTTATTCTAAGACAATGATTTAATGCATGCTTGAAATTGCCAAATGCGAGCTCGAATTTACGATGTGTAAACGATCAGCTTATCCTACTGCGAACGAAGAATCACCGTGTCTGGACAGACGTCGAGTTCGCAAAAAGGCAATCATCGACTCTCATTTTTTACACGAAACATTTCCATTACGCTTCACGGTTCACAGAGGCACAAGGTCCGCGGACGATCGACGTTGAAACGAGTTTCAGGCAAAAACGAATTTACCCGAGCCGGCATTTAGGACGTCCCGTTACGCATGTAATTAATGCACGGACATGCGAACCGACATTAACCAGACGTTTCACCGTTAAACAAAATATCACCGCCTTATATACACGCGTGCAATAACATGAGGCACAACAGGATATGAAGCCACCAACTGCTACTTAACGCGCCTACGAGTGCGAGTTCCCTTGTTTCGCCGGTGTTGCAATTAAGAATACGAGATTCGCCGGCCTTTCAGACGTAAGAGTTGTTACCGCTGAGGACTACAAATATGGATTTAACGCGAAGCTACGAACGCAGGATGGTTTCGCGGTAAGAAACGAACATAACCGATGACGAACGTACAATAATTCTTGGTTTATTAGCAATCTACTGCAGTCTGCGGCTTTTAGTGTTGAACGATGTGTCTATTCGATTTCTGTTCTAGGAATAAAGTCCTCATCATCCTCTCGTTCTTATATCTACGTAAAAGTTTATTTCACTTCTGTCGTACTTTTCGCCGGTAAAAAGCTAAAGTTAATAATCTTAACTAAAGGTTAAGAAGAGAATGAGGAAAAATAGAAGAACGCTTACCCAACACAGTCGGCTGAGATAAGGGCAAGTCTCGTGGAAGGGAGGGAAGAATGAACAGATAAAGGCTACGAAAATCTACCGTGAAGTACGGAACGGGATAAGGTGAAATAAAATAAGAGAAAAAACAAAACGGGGGAAAGGTTAAAGGAAGACGAGCAGGGAGCAGGAGCACGGAAGAAAGAAATACGCTTTGGGTAATTAATGGTGGCGCCATTTGGAGCGACGCCAATTTCGCTCGAGGCGAAAAAAGTATGTCGCGAATTTATCGAACGTTGCGCGTCGGGTGGTACGAGGATTCTTACGAAATTTCTCAACGGAAACTTCGCCGGGAACCAAGTTTGCGGGGGTAAGCGTAAGTAGATATGGGCCGGGAGAACTTTTTGATCGAATCGCGCGTACATGGACGATGTATGACTACATGATTTCAGTGTTGGTACTTACTTGACTTTCATCATCGTCGAACCGTCATGCTTCGCAATCAACTTCAGGTGGTCCCACGACGCCTTGCATTCGCTTTCGAGCTTGCCGATGTTCGCTGCTAGCTCGTCAAAGTCGATTTTCGATGCCCGCGTTACCGCGCCAATCTGAAGAACATACTCGTAATTTCTTCGATTGCAGGTGACAAAAAATACAGTAAATTCACATATCAAACTAAATTGGGTATCCAAACAATTTCCTCGAGAAAATTTACAATTTAAAATAATTTCCGATTGAAGTATGATAATCCAACTAAAATGAGACTAAATTTTAAATTTAATTGAATTCCATATTCCATCAGTCACAATCATGCTCCTTTAATCAAAACAAATCAACTGTCTCGTGTAATTTAATTTTCCTACATCTGCGAAATCGTGAAACGAGTTGGTTATATTTCTTAATTGTGGTACTTAAAAGAGCTGTCACTACAGCAGAGTTTAGCCAACAATGAAACTGAATAAAGACGTAGGCCGGGTTTGTGGTAAAAGTCTATGAGAGCTGAGTCTAGACAATTTCACGGAGACAGGATCCATAATAGTCACCAAAGGCGTGGAATTTCATTCCACGAGTAGCTAAGAAAGTTGGGTGGTCTTCCACGATTTCGCAAATGCAGTCCCCCGATTATTCGGTCTTTCGCGAGCCGAGAGCGACCAAAGTTTTATCCGGTTCCTTCTGCGCGAAAGTAAGCCGCCACCATCTCACCCTCCGCCTCACCTCCGAATAGAGATCCGTGGAATCCGGAAACTTCTCCATCACCATGTGGCAAAGGTGATGAAGCAACGAGTGCTTGTGAACCGTATCCTTCACTTCAGGTACTTTGGCAAGGTATTCCAGTTGAAAGCCCTTCACCTGAAAAAGGCCACGATAGCGTTTCAGCGAACCGAGGTGACGCTTCCACGATGCCCAACTTCCACCGGTTTCGAAGCTTTCTGCACGACGCGACGCTTCTGGCCACTTTCGCGTGTAACGTGATTGCCGTGAAAACGCAGAATCGGAATCGATGCCGTCGCTTTTCAATCGCGACGAGAACGGAATATCCGATACCATCTCTGATTCTGCGTTCGTTTCAATGTTTCTCTTTCACTTTTCCAGCGTTTTGTTTCCCATTCTGATATGATTGAACCAATAAATGAAAGCAATTTGCTAAAATCTATTTTTCATTTGGTACTCGATACCTCAAACGAAATAAAATTTTTTCGTTCACGGTTTCCTTCTGACAATTGCTATTGCATTCTTTTATTCTTATGATACATATTTATTTGTTTATATTTGACTTCGTGTGATATTGTAAATTACATTTAATGTCTTCCTGTTCGCAATAATGAATAAAGGTGAACAATATTTAAGCATTCGTATCTCGCATAATAATTGAATTTATTATCGAACAGCTCGTTTATTCAACGAGGGTGTGTTGGGTTAACTAATTAAGCGAAAATAAAATCGTGGTATCGATTCGAGAGTGCTCGTGCTGTAAAGTTTAAAATACGAGTGTCGCCGCGTCGATGCCAGTGCGCGTTGGCTGGAAACTTGTTAGCACGATAATTAATTTACGATTTTTCGCTTCGAGAGTCAAAGTGTAACTAATCAATGCGAACGTTTGTTGACTTATTTATCGCCAAGTTGAAAGAGAATTTCCCGAATATCGAGAAAAGTACTCTGCGGCTGGTTGTAAAATTTTGAAACGTCGAAATGCAAAACTCCATTCGATGAAATTCGAGAGATATGTAACCATTAAAGATGAAATTCGATACGAATCGATATCAATTATCATGTGTAATATGACTTATTACTAAATGACTATTGAAAGATGTATATGAATTTATTGTAAGATAGAGCTCATCAATTATTTAAAAAAAGTCAAACTAACACCTGTCGAAATGTATAACAGAAGCAACGAGCAAACTATTAATCCGAAATAACAGTATTGACTCACCATGTATAAGTAATTTAACTATTTATATAAGAATTTTATTAATGCATATACAATACAAAAATATTTCACGCTAAATTTTGGATAAAATCAGAGATATTAATATATTAAAGAGAGAATAATTTTCTATGGCTTTATAATAATGTATTGTTGGAACAAGGACAAAGCGTTTGAGTTCGCGGAAGAAATTCTAATCGCTGACCATTTACTGTGAAACGCGAAGCTTGATACAGGAATAGGCAGCTTGACCACGCGACGACTTCGATAAACGAGCGTGTGATGTAAAAAGCCGCTCGCGAGCGTGCCGATAAGAAATGATTAGTCGTGCCGCTCTTAAAAGAACCAAAGCGGTAAATATTCACGTAGGAACGGAAACGAACGATGACGAACGAGAAGAAATGGTCGTCCTGCATTCAAGGTAAGAACTTAGAATCGTAAAGTATTCGGGGCACGAATATTCGTGCGAGTGCACCGTTTTTACATCTCGCATACATTTCGTTCATAAGTCATTGGACAATAAAAAAGAAAAATAGTACGTAATAATAGCAGTCGTGACATAAATTCAGCTTGAAATTTAATTATTATTAGCTCAATTAAAAGGAAAGCCAATTTTTTAAATTGGAATTCCTAAATTTCATTTTTTCCAATTAATCAGCTTGTATAAACAGAAAACTGTCTGGCAATTCATGAATAAAAGTGTATGTATATCGCGTATGCCCGGCACGAAAACGAACCGAGTGCTTAATTTCGCGTGGCCAGAAGCATCAATTATTTAAATAATTTCAGCAAACACATTGTAGTAAAAAAACTTCATCCATAAAAGGAACAAATACTGTCATATAAAATTTCTTTATTTCTTATACGAGAGATATGAATTTTGATGCAGGGACTTCGCAATAGGATAACGGTTTATTTCACTGTACATGCAGGCTATAATATTTTAGTTCACAAAAACCACGCTATTAACCAATAGCTTCTATATTAAAAAAACAAGGGAAAACGCAGTGGAAGTGGTTCAGAGTATTCAGGCTCGAAACTGGAAGCTCTTTTCGCGAATCATTGGGCAACTGTTACACGAAAATTATCGACGCCGATGGTATCGATTCTGCACGAATAGGCGCGGGCCTGTGCGACCCCGAACTGACGGATTAAGCGGATATCATTTGGCTGGCATTCAATACCTACCTCATTTCCGTTGAGGAATATCCCGATCGAAAGGAGCGTGCTCAGAATCCCGCGGAACGTTTTATTCACTCGGAGAGTCTCCATTCCCTGCTTCAAATCCATCAAAGGGTCCGCAATTTCCTGAAGTCACAAAGGTGGTTCACGATTATTTCTTTCCCTCGACAGCGGCAAGGGTTTCTTTCTCGCGGCTGGTTCGTTGTGCTCGTCTGCGGTTCCAAATCTCAAGCTTCTTGCATACTTTCTTCTAGCACTGCGTGACATGTGCTTGTTAAACTTTAAAGACGTGTCGTACTTATAGACGAAGATATTTTGTATGTAATATAAATGTATAATACATTACAAAACATTCCAATGGTAGAGAATAAGACGATCGATGATAAATTAGGAATATTTGATCAATCTTAATATTCCATAATTTCGCATATCACTTTTATAATTTTAATTTAATATCTCTGACGATCTTATATAATGCAAAGCATTACAAAAATGTTCGCTCATATAGAATTTCATCTAATACATGATAGAATTCCATGAAAGAAATATGTTATGAATAAAGGAATAAGAATAAAGAAATTACTTTGTTGAAAGGAACGATTTGGGAAGTGTCGAGTAAGGCTTAGCCGATTTAATGAGTAAGAAAATTCTCGTCTGGCGGCGGTCAAGGTGTCTCACGGCCAGCGATTTTCCAGGGAACTCAGCAACACACACGTCCGAGCGCTTATCGGAATTTCACCGTGTTCCCATCGCGAAGAAATCGCGCGATTATGCGGAGAACGTTTCCCTGGCGCGGCGCGACTTCCTTCCCAAGCATACCTCACGTTTTTGCCCGTCGCGGTGTCTCGCGACCATCTCCGCGGAATTCGAGACGAAATTCGTGAGAAATAACGGGCCGATTCAAACACTGTTACGCGTGTATATGTATATATGTTATACACATGTATTCGACAAAACTTATGAAATAGCATTTGCATTTGAAACGTCGTGAAATTCTGTGATTTCATTCGGTAAGAAACCAATAATCGAGTGATTTTTAGTCCAAATATTTTATCATTGTTTATTAATCATTATTATTAAGTCGTAGCATTTTCTAATGCTGTTAGTACGTTAATAAACTTCTAAAATCTTTTATATTTGTTCTCTGATTATTTCATGAAATCTCCATTCAATTTTATATTTATGTAACTACACCCATGGGTTCAATAAACAATTGTAAAAAATTAGACAGAAACAAGTTCAAATTAAAGGCTTCTAAGTTTTCTTCGAAGATAACAAGCGTTTTGTTATATTAGAATTATATTGATTCTATACAGGGTGAGTCAATAAGAACTATTTTATATAAATTAAGTCAATGTTTATTCATAGTCGATCGTTTTCATTTTGTCGAAGTATTCATTTTGATCTGGCATCGAAAATCAGAATAAATACAAAAATGCATTTATTCAATAATTCTATCAAATAAAAGATTAATGTAAAGCGTTTACCACTAAAATGTGAAAACTACAAATTATTTCATATGACTATTCTCATCGAGTCATCCTGTTTAACAATTTCTCTACAGATTTAGATCTTTGGTCAAACTGACGAATCAACAAACCACACTGCGCGTCGATGAGTGTTCAACTCACCTTTTCCGAATTCTCGAAGTCCAGCTTGAACGCCCAAAGTTTCAGCCTCGCGGGTAATTCCGAGATCGAGGCCAAAGTGAGAAGAAACTGCTCGGCCGATCCTAAAGGTAGGTCAGGATTGGCGGCCTGCGCCTCTTGTATCCTGGATCTCTCCTCCTCGGTCGGCAGCATTGTCAATAATTTCTGTCGCAAACAGGAACGGGACCAGGGAACGGGTAGGAAAAATCGGATGAACGAAGAACAAGAACAGAAATCAATCGAAAATTAGAGAAATGAGGAAAAATGTTGAAAACAGGTCAGTAGATTTCCGTTTCAACTGAAGTGGGATTACCGTAAACCAAAGCTCGTTACTTATGCAATCATACTTTTTAAACGAAGTTAGGGGAACATTTCGTTTGGGGATTAGATTAAGAAATCCATGGAAATATATCTGAATTTTTTCTATCTCATTGGAACGATGATACTTTTTGTTATAAATGGTAATCAAATCACTAAATCAATCGTTACACTTTATAATGATTGAAATCAATGTCGCACTGTTGAATTATAGACGAATATAATGCATGAAATGTATGAAACATTAAAAGTGATCGCTCAATCTTACCTCGATACCCTCTCTGTTCATGATGGTCGCGTCCATCTTCAAAATAGCCGTTTTGATCGACCTCGGTGGTGGCAGCTTGGTCATCCCGATATTGATGGCGTTCGATCGTTTATGGTCCAGCACGATGATCTCTTTATTCTTGTTCATCTCTTGCTGTTTCTACTCGACGAGAGAAGACAATTACTTAATAAACATCTTAAATAAAAATCTTGATCGAGACGACTTAAAAGGCGTTCGCTCGTCACAATCGATCACTCAAAATTGTTTAATTCAACGTGGATACCGTGCACGAGAGTTTGATGAAAACGAGAACAACAAAATTAAACACAATTTGCCTACTGTAAACTATATAAATTAACAATAAAAAGTACAGACCAAATGTTTGTTCGTAACAAGAAAGTGGGGGGAAATAGAGATGAAAATGCGATTAGAACATATTTGGTCTGCTCGTGAATCAATCGATGAAATATACGAAAAAGAAGGAAAAAAAATGTTGGCATCGCGTCGTCGGTGGAAACGGATTTAGTAAAACGAGTTGAGAGCAAACAACGGGTTATGATGTCGTGGTGCAAATAACGCGGAAGGGTTGACAAAAGAAGCCTAATAGGTATGGCAGCAGAGAAAAAGAGAAATTGGAAAGAGCGTTGTAATTAGCGCGGAGTAAGCGACCGGGCTGGGATTGATCACTGGAAACACTTTTACAAGGATGACTAATTAGTGATTAACGATCTGCGTGTAATTAAAGCGCGAATAAACTCAATGAACAATTTCATTACGGTCGTCTAGTGATATTAATAGAATAAATATATTTACATTTCCTGTTAATTAGTCGCAAGCGTGAATTCATAAATACGTAACAGAGAAAAAGCGGAGCGGGGAGAAAATAAAACGAGGCAAGCAATAAAGTCGGAGTTAACGCAAATCGACGTTAAGTGAAGAGTTAAGAAATTAGGACTCACCTCCTGTAAAATTCCAGCATGCCATTTCGTTCATTTTTCGTGCGAGCACCAAGAATATTGCAAATAATACAAGAAAACATTAGTCGTATTGCATTAAACCACCATCGCCACCACCCGACTATTGTTCCGCGGAAGTAGTATTATGATTTTGATTACGTTGTACGCGATCGTTATTGTGAGATTTGTCATTGCTCCTTGCGAACGGCATTAATTTATGATTTGTTATTGTTAAAATTACTTCTTTAGACCGACTCACGAATCCGCGTGTAATACACCAAAGTCGTAATCATTCGTGATTGTGTATGATCGTCTCGTGAAATCATTGCTTTCTTCCGTGACGTATTACGAAAGTAGTAAAAGTATACACTATAACCAAACGTGCAAAATCTGTCGACAAATGTTAGAAAAATCACGAGAACGTCGTAAGTCCTTAAAACCATCGAGCTTCATTAAGTTTAAAGACAACGAAGAAGAGAGTGAAGATCAACAACCCCTGTTAACCGAGTCATGAAGACTTTCGTCTTCCCTCGATTTTCAATCATTTTCCTTTTTCCACCTAAGCTCTCGATATCCCAAAAATTCTTTTCGATTCACATCTTCTCTTCAAATTTTCGTTTCTCCCGCAATCTGACATAACTCGAGTCCTTACCCAGTATTAATTATTCTTCGCGAGAGCTGGATGTAAAACTTCAAAGGTAATGAGTTAAGTAAAGAAGCTAAACAGGCACAATGGAATAGCATGGATGAGAGAAAGGAAAGGGTTGAGTGAATATGTTTAAAGAAAGAACATACTTTGACATATATGTATGTATGTAATATGTATAATACACATATTATGACTTATATGTGATTTTTACTATGTATGGATACGTATATGAATACAGACAAGTATCATCATAATGATTTATTCCAATTTTTCAATTGAAGTAATTCATAATGATTATCAATTTAGAATTACAATATTAAATTTTGTGATAAGTACGAAACATTTGGAAGTGCGGGCGAGATTTATATACAAAACTTATGCGACTCGTGGCTTGGAATATAAAAACGTGAATTCGGGTCGAAGTCGATAAAAGCAGCGCGTGGCAATTAGCGGCAGCAAGCCCCAGATTCGCGCGGAATCTCCAACGCTGATCGCTCGAAAGAATTTCCAATCGGCTTTCGCAGTGGTGGCAGCCGGGTCAAGGGAAAGCGTGCTCGAGATACGGCAAGCTGTTATTATCGACAAGAAATTAAATGTACCACCAACACACATCTGTGACCGAAAACGTGATTCGATGTCCGTGATCATCGTCGCTTTGCTTGGAAATGATATTAGAATCGAGAAAATCGTGCAAAATATTTGGAGATCCCTTCTGTGTTCGATCTGAAGAACATAAAACTACTTAAAAATACTAAATTGGTTTATATGAATTATTTAGAAATATTATAAGCAGAAGAGAACGTTTT